TGCTGGGCTATCCCGAAAACACGGATGAAACTGGGGAAGCAAGGCCAGAAAAAGGCAAGGCAAAGGAGGAATTGGAATCGCCACTTGGAGTTCTTGGTAGGCAGATGCACACACATGTTTGTACGGCATACGGGTATCGGATCTGGATACGTTACACTTCAGCCGAGCTTCTTCTTTTTTTCTAAACTTTCTCCGAGGTATTCTTTGTTTTCGTTGGCTTTGCTTGGCTGGGGGTTTTCCTTTACTTTGTACTGCGATGTACTGTACTGTACTGTAGCGTACGCTGCAGTGATGGTTATTATGGCTGTGGTGGCGGTTTAACATCGGTGGGTTGTGGCTGTGTTGGGCTTGGATAGCGAACGCCACAGGTAGATAACAGTATTTTGAAGAGGTGAGGCTTGCGTGTGCTGGTTTCTGCATTGATGAACTGATATGTGCAGATGTGAAGGTCTTGTTTGGAGTCGGGGGTTGGAGACTTTCCTACAGTACTGGGTAATGCTTCCTGGTTGTAAGGGTTCGCAGCCCTGTTTTTACCATTGATAGGCTTTGGACTTTATTTTGAGGGTTTACTTGTATTTCGGAATCTCGAAACATGAGGCGTGCAGTACATGGGAGAATACTGTACAAGTACTGTGTAGAGATTCCCCATGTTTGATGGTGGATCCCCAGTTGGGTGTGTTTTCTCCACTTGAGCTATCGGGGCTATCTGGCTCTAGACCCGAGAATAATGGCGAAAATGGTACAGTACAGAGAAACCAGTGAATCGTGCACGATGCTGTACGTGCAATTCGAGCAAGCCGGATCGAATGGCAGCAAGCCCTTCTGGGGGAACTTGGCAGATGCCACAGACTCTGGCCACAGCCACAGCCACAGCACCAGCCCGGGGCGTGTGTTTCGTTGTTTATGCGCGCCCTCTGGTTGGCTCACAGGCCCAGCAGCCTTCCGAGCCTTCATCCAACTTTTTATGGTTATTTTAGCTAACCGCGGTTGGTCGATTCGGAGGTTTAGGGAAATACAGCAGGTAAGAGCAGATACTACTGGCAGAGTGCTGGAAAAAGTGGTTATTTTTTCGCCCCTTCCAGATGCAAGATGGGGGAAGGCAGCTGGTAGAAGTCGTCGATGGTTGGGCGGATTCGTTGCTCCACAACGCCTTCTCTGCTGCTGCCAAACACCCCCTCCGCGCTCTCGACGCCTGGATGCCCTGTGGCAGCAACCGAGGACGCGTGTGAGAGATTGCATGCGGTCGAGAACAAATAGGATGGCTACATTCTCATGCTCTATGCCTCTTGTGCGTGGAATTGCAGCAATAGAGGTGGTTAATAAAAAAACATACACCTCTGAATTCATGCGCCCCATTTCTTCGCCTGGTCTGTCTTCGTCTCTTCGTCTGGGGGTCCTGTAACTTTTTTTCCCACTTGCCTCTCCTTCCCCTTCATAATATCTTCCATGCCGAGCTTAGGTTGTCCTGCTGGATTATCCCGAATGTTCCATTAGCTGCCCGCGGACTGGCCTGTTTTTTATGCTACGTGCTTATTCACAAAAAACCACTTATGGATCTTCTTCCCTGAGCCAGAAATCATTTTCTTCAAGGTGCACCGTAAATTCCGCACTCTTTTTCTCTCTCCTCTGGAGAAGAAGGAGAGTGCCAGCACACACGCACCCCTCGCCCTCTCCATCGCGCGCGGTGCGGTGTTGTGCTGTGCTGCTGCTGCTACTGCTGCCCCGGACGAGAAGAGGAAAAAAGAATATAGAATAGAATCAAGCTCGATGACAAACACCCTCCGTGAGACAGTCGGCGCTCCTTCCATGGCGATTGGCAATCTGAAGACGCGCTTGCGGGCTCGCTTTGCCAGACGGTATTCCGCCGCCTCCTTGGAATCCTCAGGAGATGCCGCCGAGACGCATCTGGTCGAGCAAAAGGAAGGCGATTTCGTCGCCGCCCACCGCAGAGACAACAAGGCAGTGTCGCTGACATCTCTGGACAGCCCGCTTCAGCAGCAGCCTCCTACGCCGGGCGCTGAGATCAGTGATCTCAAGGACGAGGCTGGTGGTGGAAGTGGTGGTAATACTAGTCAGGCTGGTTCTGCGCCAACAGCTTCCCAGCCGTTGCAAGGTGCTCAGGCGGCAGTCGCCTGCGGGACGGGAAGCGATCAACAACATCGTCGTCGTCAAATGTCCACTACCACCACAGCTTCCACCACCTCGAATATCCTCGAATCCAGTGTTGAAGACTGCAGGCAGGGCAGCCCGTCGACCACCGTTGACTTTCCGACTCCCAACACAGACATACCGCCCGTGGCCGAGGAATACGAGAAGGAAAACAATGACCAGCCGGGAGACAATCAATTGAATCGACACACCCAGGACACCATCACCGAGCTTGCTCCCAACAAGAGGCCAAGCGAGTTCGAGAGACGCCAGAGCTTGATTCCTCGACAGCAGACCCGGTTGATCAAGACGTTGCTCGAGACCAACACGGCTGCTGACGCACAAACCCCGAACCTCGAATATTTTACCAACCACCTCGAGAGAACGTCAAACATGGTCGAGAGGAAGATATGGGTCAAGCGCCCCGGTGCATCGGCAACTCTAGTAGTAGTACATGAGGATGACCTAGTAGATGACGTCCGAGATACCATCTTACGAAAATATGCCAATTCGCTCGGCCGCAATTTCGATGCCCCAGATGTCACCATAAGGATCGTGCCGAGAGAAAATAACAGGCAAGAGAGAACACTGGGCCCGGAAGAGCAGATGTGTCGAGCTTTGGATGCATATTACCCCGGAGGACAGACCATTGACGAAGCTTTGATCATCGATGTTCCCTTACGGCGGACACCGAGGCCTTCTCCAGGACATGCCGCATCTTATCACGAGGGTCGCCCCGTCGAGACTGCTTCAGATTACTTCCCTCCGATGCCTCCAGCAGCCATGCCATCTCCACGCTTGACAAATAGCATGCCTGCTACCGCCAATGGACAAGCCCATGCTGCACCACTCCAACACTCGATGTCTGTTCTCACAACAGGCCACGTACCGCCTCTACCATCGCCAGGAAGCACGAGACGACATCACAGAGACAGCACCGACCAAAGGCATAGAGGAGAGAGACCAAGAGTTGGTCGTCAACACACTGCCTCTCCTACAGTCCTTACAACTCACTCACCAATCCCGCCATCCGCCACCAATCCGCAATTACATCCCACAATGCAGAGAACGCATTCAGGTACTCCAGATCCAGCTGCTGTACCATCAGGCCCTCCACCGATGCCCACGCCTCCGCTGGCAGACGGAACCCAGATTCAACGAGTAGCTACACCGCCCCCACGAGTTTCTTCACCCCGGCCTAATAATAGAGTCAAGCGCTCAAAACCTAAAACCGCCGTGGATCATCCTACGCTCCCAGCCGGCAGCCTCTTGAATGGCGCGGTTCCACCTATCAATGTGTTGATAGTAGAAGATAATATCATCAATCTGAAGCTGTTAGAGGCGTTCATGAAGCGCTTAAAAGTGCGCTGGCAGACAGCTATGAATGGGCGGGAAGCCGTAACAAAATGGCGTTCCGGAGGCTTCCATCTGGTTTTGATGGACATCCAGCTCCCGATTATGAGTGGTCTGGAAGCGACAAAAGAAATCCGTCGTCTCGAGCGACTAAATCACATTGGTGTCTTCACCTCCAGTGCAAGCAGTACCGCTCCTGAAGAAGATATGAGCGATTCTACTCTTAGCGAAGATGATATCCTGCCAACTCCTGTGCTGTTCAAGTCTCCAGTTATCATTGTCGCCTTGACTGCATCCTCTTTGCAATCTGATAGGCACGAAGCTTTAGCAGCAGGGTGTAATGACTTCTTGACGAAGCCTGTCAATTTTGTCTGGCTTGAGCGAAAAGTCATGGAATGGGGCTGCATGCAAGCACTAATAGATTTTGACGGTTGGCGGAAGTGGAAAGACTATTCACAATCTACTGAAAAGGATGAGGCCGAGAAGAAGAAGACAGCTACCGCCACAAAGAAAAAGAAGCGTACTAGCATGAATAGCACTCCTACAACTACTACTAGGAGTATTAGAGAAGAGGCTGAAGATGTCCTTAATCCAGAAGGAATAATGGCATGAGCTGCGCTGCCTTCGCCGTCTCCGTGCTCTCTCTCTTCACATTTCTTTCTTAGGCTTTCGACTAGTATTGGGGCTATGTGCCAATATACAGTCTGCCATGTCGTATTTTCTTTTGAAGAATAATGGCCTGCTTAATATACCTCCGTCGAGTATACATATAAATCTTTTCGACGATAACCAGCACCACGGGGTCATGGTGCAGGCGTTTCTCTTTCATTTAGAGGGCAACATATATATATCTCTCTTTCATTGGACATGGCAGGGATCATGTCTACTGGGGAGCGGGAGGAATTCTTTTTTTGCAGGGTAATCAGGAAAGGGGCGTGGAAGAAATAAAATACAAAGGCAACAAATAAGAGCTTGGTTATGCTTTGTCCCTTCTGTTGTTTTTCACTACTTAATTGGTGTTGAGTTTGCCTGAGCGGGATGCATGCACTGGAGTCGTTGATATTCCTGGGGGAGTTGTGCTTGGATGGTACACGCATGGTTATTGAGACATATTTCTTCTCCAATGTAGTTAATGTGCCGGCTATTGGCAGAGGCAGAGGCATCCTTCAGCAACCTGATAATTGGATCCTAGTTACTTCTCCATTGCACGTAATAATGAGCTTAATGTGCAGACATTTTCAGTATACGTATTTATTGCCTGAGAACAAGCCGTCCACGCCCGGTGACACCATTCTGCACAGCATATAGCTGAGTCAGGAAATGTTGATAGGGGGGGTCCATCTCGCGAGAATCAACCAACGAAAACAACGGACTCTCGCTTCAGGAATGCACTTTTTATTGCACCTCAACACAATAGAGACCGTCTAGAGATGTTACTTTTAAAAGAATCACTGTCAAAATGAAAAGCGAGGCCAAAGAAAAAGGAAAAAATAAAATTATGCAAACGCCGCGAATCGAACGCGAACCTCCACCTCTCTCTCTCACGTTGAGATGGAAGGGTGGAATCCTAACCATTGGACCACGTAAGCTATTGTTTCCAATTTGTTAGGGTTTGGATGCGCTATTTCGTCTTATAAAGGCAAATGAAATTGCCCCAAACGTTAAAAGCCTACCTACAACTCTCATTTTGATGCCAAAGAATCCACCATAGGTTGTGTCGTGCGGGTTGAATACACATTTACTAAGTATAGAAAAGTTAAAATCAGTTTGGTTCAGAAACACAAATGGGTTGCGTCTCTTTAGGAGGCCTCTGACAGCACCTTATTGACCTGGCTAGCCCCTTCCATAGGATCATCAGGGGGAGTAAAATGTATCTCTTCCAAGGGGTCCTTCGCTCACCGCTCTATTATTCCCTTGGAAACAATTTTTGGTAGTATTATATCACGGGATTTTCTGATTCTGTTTTGCAATTAAAGCAGTTAACATGTTCATTATATATTTTATATCCCCTCTATTATGTGTACAGCACACTGCCATTCAGTTATCCCCCATCTATGCTAGACCTTAAGACATGTCGGTTCATTTTATCCATTCCACGACCCAACTCCGCCAGTATACAAACAGCCCATTTGTCCTCACTGTCCCGACAGCCTCGAACAAAACGCGCTTTCGAAGACTGACAACTCCCTACAGCGTATTAATAATATTGTATATGACCATAATAACCCTAGCAACGAATATGAAGATATTAGATATTACATCTAGTTTAATGGTTTTCGCGCAACCATCAGGTACATGGGAGTGAAAAGATCCTCCTTGCCACCAGCAACGAGGCAGTCAGCAGCAACAGCAAGACTGTCTGCGGTCTTCTGGGTACCGCCTGGAGCAACACCGACAGTTTCTAAGATGCCGATGAATTTGTGGGCGAGAGATCGGCCCCACCAGGTCATGCGTGCAATGGTGAAGAAGTCTCCGATTGTACCCATGTGCTTGAATTCACCAGCAAGTGGGTAGTACCACGGGGTAGCATCTGGTCGTTTGGCAAGATCCTCGTGGTGTATTAACTCGAAGCCAGCCGCTTTGATGGCAGCAAGACCCTCTGAGATTGTGACCATGTTGGAAATACCATCACCTTGCTCGATACCAAGACGTATTTCACGGTGATGCTGGTTGTTGTTGTCATACTTGTCGGTCATGAGCCACTCGTAGACACCGAATGTTCCACCGGGCTTCAAGACACGGAAGATCTGCGAGTAGACACCTTCGAGAGATGGCGCATGGACGGTGGCTTCAATAGCGTAGACAGCATCGAAGCTGTTCTCTGGGAATGACATTTGCTGAGAATTCTGTTAGCCAGTTTAAATTGTATTGAGAATTGCAGTTACGAACCATAAAGTCACCCTTGACAAACTTCAGCTGATTTGAGAGACCTTCCTTTGCTGCATACCGTGTGGCACGCTCAATCTGGTAGTCATTGTTATTCAGACCAGTAATGTGTGCCCCGGTGAACTTTGCAATCTCTCGGGCAGGTCCTCCGACACCACATCCAACATCGAGGACTCTGTCGCCCTCATTGATGTCGATTTTGTGGGCAAGATAGTGTTCGTGGCGAGCAATGGCTTGGTAGAATGGTTCACCGTATGCAAAACGACAGAAGTGGAAGGATTGACCCCATCCATACTCGTAAAGATCGGTACCCAAGTTGTAATAACTGAACAAGTCGATTAGTACATCAAGATATATAAAGGAGTTTGGGTTACATACTGTCTTGTCAAAGTAGCGTATTCTGCTCTTCGTGACTGTAAAAAGGGGCAGGTTAGCAATTGTAGTTCAGGAGTGGCGGTATTCAATGCGCACCTCTCGATCAGCGTCAGTCTCGTCTTTTGCTGCCTTGTTGTCCCAGTGCTTGAAGTATGCATCGACTGCCGCCTTTTGTGCAGCTTTGTCTTTCTTCATCATTGCCCTCAATCCTCCTCCAGCTTTGGACGAGTCCTTGTGCATGGCCTTGTTGAAGGCGGCATCACGAGAGTGATCCTCAGTCTCAAGTTTAGTAGGAGCCATTGTAAAAAAGTTGCAACAGGACTTGAATGTTGAAATGAGAAGAAAATTGCAAAAGGGGTGTCTTGGAGTGTATTGACTTGGAATTTAGGAGGGATTGGAAGACTTTAAATGCTTCCCCAAATTTTAGAATAATTAATTTACCCAGGGTGCTCGTGTTCGGATTGCCCCTGGAGAAGAGCGGTAAACTCGCCCCAATACGGCCTAGCTTTCCGCCACAGCTCAATCCCCCGATAACGTTAAAGGGGAATGCATGTGCTAGTCACGTGAGTGAAGACAGGGAAGCGATAGAGGTTTACAAATTTCAGAGGCGACATTTTGGCTGCACGAGCTTCTTCTACGTCAGCGCCATATCCACCTCCTTCGATATTCCACTCTAAACTGTGGGAGGCTCACATATACACAACCAGATATGCCGCCCCAGATAAAGCAGGATTTGAACAGGTCTGGATGGGAGACCACCGACTTCCCTTCAGTCTGTGAGAACTGCCTACCAGATAATCCTTTTGTCCAAATGACAAAGCAGGATTATGGCGAAGAATGCAAGATCTGTACACGACCATTCACCGTCTTTCGCTGGAAGGCTGACCGAACTTCGCGCACAAAGCGGACTAATATCTGTTTAACATGCGCGCGGCTGAAAAACTGCTGCCAATGCTGCATGCTGGATCTGTCCTTCGGATTACCTATTGTTATTCGAGATGCGGCTCTCAAGATGATCGCTCCAGGCCCACAAAGTGCGGTGAACAGAGAATACTATGCACAGGAGCACGAAAAGGAAATTGAAGAGGGGAGGGGTGCAGTGGAGGAGTATAACAAGACTGACGAGAAGGCTCGAGAGCTTTTAAGACGGCTGGCCACCAGTGAACCATATTTCAAAAAGCAGCGAAGAATTGAATCGTCAGAAAGCTCGGGCAATGCGAATGAAGGAAGTTCAGCTGCTAATACTGGTGGTGCTGGACCGATACGAACGCGAGATAGCAGAGGTCAACCACAGTCGAGAGCTTCAGTGCGGGGTGGTCGAGGAGGAGCACGAGGTGGAAGAGCATTCCCAGGAACTGCACAGCTACCTCCAGGGCCCCAGGATATTCTCCCTCCGGCTGACAAAAGCATCACATCCCTTTTCATTACCGGTGTCGAGGATGATTTACCAGAATATAAGATCCGAGAATTCTTCAGTCCTTATGGGAAGATTCGGTCGTTGGTGTGCTCGCATATGTCTCATTGTGCGTTCATAAATTATGTCACCAGAGAAGGGGCTGAAGCAGCCGCAGAAGCTTTGCAAGGGCGTGCTGTTATTGCTGGATGTCCCTTGCGAGTACAATGGGGACGACCGAGACCAATAGGCACTATGGACAAGGAGGAGAGAATCGCTACAGGAAAGGAAGGTAGAGCAGCATTTGCCGGGTCTGGACAGCAACGTGCTATTGGAGGGGGAAGGGCCGCCGGCGTTGCAGCTCAGCCAAATCCTGAAGCTACTCTTGCGAGTATGGCTGCTGTTGCTCCCCCGCCGGGCCAAGACGATGTTCAGTATGCAAGTTTATCAGGGAATTGAACGGGAAAATAAATCTAATGGGACGGTGCATTTGGCGTTTGGTTTAGGCGATATGGTTCTATGACATGGGATATTCTTGTTATTAACTAATGTTACAATTATCATCATGACTCCGACCTTGAGGTCGTGAATGCTAAACATGCTATCATACAATACATTTTAGTGTCATAAATATCAACTACTGCAGGATCTAGTTCCATCTATTTTTACTTTTTGACCATTCGGCATCTTCACAGTATCATTGTCTCCTCGTTCCGTATGTTCATGTATTCTGAGCTCTGATACCACCTTCAGTAAGTCTATACGAGCATTGGAGCTAAAAGAACTCACTGTACATATCGTCTCCCTGGTTTTGTCCTTGGACAACGTTCTCTCTTAATATTTTTGCTACTTCTTCGGCATGTGCTATCGCTGGCGCAAGGGCGGGATCGTCAGGAAGCAAGCCCGCATTTTTGCTAAATGCCTTTCGAGCCTCTTCTTTTGCCGCATGTAAGACCGGGAGGTCACCTATACAGACTCAATATCAATCCTACTTAGAATATCCACTCAATTGCGAACCTTGAAATGCAATCCTTGCAGATCGTAAAAGGTGTCGGTACGCCGCTAAAGCCATTGTTCTGCTCTGGGATGCCGTGATATTCGGAGGCAACTTTGGTAGGTAATATTATAAGCCGGGAGTGTGAACTAATAACCAAAAGGAATATGAGTGAGCTTGTAGGGAATTGGGATATATCGAGGAGATGCCCGAAGCCAAAGAAATTCTCAAAAAGCAGGGCAGAACTTACTTACAGCACAAGCCCAAAAATGTATCACTTAAGTAAGTATACAAATTTGTAGATACAAGCAGAAATATTTTACTCTATTCCACCATAAACGAGTGTCAAAAAATGAATCAGAACGGCGCAAACATTAAACTGAGATATCTGATGCTCAAATGCCAGAATTCCGCTATCAACACGTGATATATCGAAACAGGACTAGCGCCATGCACTTGATGTGTGCGAAAAGCACAGGCTGAGAAATATTTCGAAAAGTCTACGAAATTCCCATCGTCAGCGAAATTGTAAAGTTTCGATCAACCACGATCGGAGTACACAATGGCTACAGCACACCAAGTCAACCTTCCTCTTCCAGTCCTTCCGCAGGACTGGAGCGCAGAGAAAGATTTCAAGGCCGTCGGGACAATTACTGCAGCCACCCAGAGAAGTATTGAGCCTGTTGGTCCTCACTTTTTGGCCCATGCTCGGCGTGCACGACATAAGCGGACGTTCTCCGAGGATGATCGTATCCAAGCACAAGAGAATGTTAAGAAAGTGGAGGATGACGACGATGGAGAGATCAGCGAACCTGAGGATCCGGCCATGTTGATGCGTGATGCAAAGGATTGGAAGGTTAGTGTAATGCATCTTTTGAACTTTCTATACCATTGCTCAGAAAATAATTTTCTAACAAAAATTAAAACCAGAACCAAGATCA